TCCACCTCACGGTTCATTTATCAAGGGAATACCAGTTGTCCTGTTTGAAGGTCTTTTGACTAACATCGAACGTAAAATGCAGCTTTTCCCATTCACTAAAAGTGGCAGTTATAATGTTCGAGCTGTAGGGAGCTTAGATGTAGAAAACTTTTTTGGTTCCTTTCAAGACATAGACCCAAAGGGAACTGGGGTTTTTCGACCCGATGATATACCGAGTGCATTGGCTGTTGCTGCAGAGCTCATCGACTCTAAATTAGACCCTAACAGGTAAGTGTTTTTAATTTAATCGATAAACAAATTTTCTCATACCATTACCGCATTACAGAATACTTAAAATTTTCACAGGGGTTTTCACATGGACACATCTGCGACTCAAAAGGTGTATCCAGTCAACGACAGGCTACCAATGGAAACGGAGGAGAGAGAAGTTAACGAGTTATCTGATGTAATTTGGAGGGATTTGACCACAATTTATCCAATGTAAGAATGTTTATACACATTATTACTTCTCTGTAAGTGGCTGTGCATAAATGTAATTTAATTTTGTAATTTAATACTTACCTATTTTTAATTAGAAATCATGAGTTCGACAAAGAAGAGAGGACCAGATGTAAACAAAAAAGGAAATCGTCAACAGTTTCCAAACCAGACGAACCCGGTCGAGGTTGTTTACCAGTCCGAGTTTTTCATAAACGTGACGAAACAAAAATTCTTCCCCATGTAAGAAGGGGGCTTAAATTGACAGAGTAAGAGAAAGGGGCCTAGACACAGTTGTACTGGAGTGTTGATAAAATATAAGGATAAAGTTTAATGTGATTTGTGTCAATGAAACGCTACCCAGTCACTTTGCGAAAGGAACAATGATTATAGCTTATAATAGATATCAATACAGTCATATACTATTTTGTCGAATATGATACAATAATATAATAATATGATATGCATAGCTTTTCCTTATTCACATATAGTATGGTGTATAATTTTCATTTTGTTGTAAAAACAAGTGTTGTAAAAACTTAAAAAATATCTGTAAATTGTTTAAAAGTGTTCTGAAATTAAAAAAAAAAATATCTCGATTTAGTATTTCTTTAAATATAATCGAACCGTCTATTGTCCATAATTTATCATCATAATCTACTAGTATTGAACAGTAGATGGAGAGTCATGAATATAGATATAAAACAGTTATCGCAGAAATAGTGTTCATTCATTTATTAGGGAGGTTCTTAACATAGGCGTCGGAACGGGGGGTGGGGGGTCTTAGCCTCCCACTTTTTTTGCAAAGATTTACATAATTTAGGCATTGAAAATTGGGGTTTACCTTTCTTTTGTGGTTAAGCCCCCCCCCCTTTTAATTTACTTCCGACGCCTACTGTGAAATCACTAATTTTCGTGGGGGGTTAATTTTCGATGTATGAGGAGACCCACGAATTCACATTGAAATGTAAATTTTCATATGCTCAATTACTAAAAAGCTTCTAATCCTCGAAATCAAATCCCTACGAACCAACATTTTTCCTTAAACCACGAAAATTTGACCCCACGAAAATATGTGATTTTACAGTATGCTAAATGCGCACTTAAGGAATTACATGTATTATTCATTCCACAGTAGTTTAATGCAGTCAGCATATTGTAAACATTATGTCAAACCGCTCGTACTCTGATAATAATCCTTGTTGAAAATGAACTGAAACTCTTTTTGTAAGTTCACAAAATTTTCCCATAATGCAATTAAAAATTGTGTTATTAATATTGTGTGCTCCTAAAAATTTATGCTTATTTCTTTACATAAATATTTATTCCAACCAGAAGTCTCTGTCGAGACTGAAGCTCTACTGGTTTGAACTTATAGCAAAGGAAGAGAAAAGTACTTAAGCAGCTGGGATTTGAAACTAAATAGAATAATGATCGTTGATAAAGTCTCTTTATGTTCTTAGTGTAGTCTACTTGTGTGCCAAGTTATATTGAAATCAGACCAAAACTGTAGGAGGAGTAGCATTTTGAAACAATTTTACAGATATTTCTATTTTTAGTAACCACGGCAACACCGTTCATCAAAATTAAAATTCGATATACAGAATTATGTATCTTAGTGTATTCTACTTATGTGCCAAGTTATATTGAAATCAGACCAAAACTGTAGGAGGAGTAGCATTTTGAAACAATTTTACAGATATTTCTATTTTTAGTAACCACGGCAATACCATTCATCGAAATCAAAAACCGATAAACAGAATTATGTATCTTAGTGTATTCTACTTGTGTGCCAAGTTATAATGAAATCAAACCAAAACTGTAGGAGGAGTAGCATTTTGAAAGAATTTCACAGAAATTTCTATTTTTAGTAACCACGGCAACACCGTTCATCGAAATCAAAAACCGATACACAGAATTATGTATCTTAGTGTAGTCTACTTGTGTGCCAAGTTATAATGAAATCAAACCAAAACTGTAGGAGGAGTAGCATTTTGAAAGAATTTCACAGAAATTTCTATTTTTAGTAACCACGGCAACACCGTTCATCAAAATCAAAAACCGATACACAGAATTATGTATCTTAGTGTAGTCTACTTGTGTGCCAAGTTATACTGAAATCAGACCAAAACTGTAGGAGGAGTAGCATTTTGAAAGAATTTCACAGAAATTTCTATTTTTAGTAACCACGGCAACACCGTTCATCGAAATCAAAAACCGATAAACAGAATTATGTATCTTAGTGTATTCTACTTGTTTGCCAAGTAATACTGAAATCAGACCAAAACTGTAGGAGGAGTAGCATTTTGAAAGAATTTCACAGAAATTTCTATTTTTAGTAACCACGGCAACACCGTTCATCGAAATCAAAAACCGATACACAGAATTATGTATCTTAGTGTAGTCTACTTGTGTGCCAAGTTATAATGAAATCAAACCAAAACTGTAGGAGGAGTAGCATTTTGAAAGAATTTCACAGAAATTTCTATTTTTAGTAACCACGGCAACACCGTTCATCGAAATCAAAAACCGATACACAGAATTATGTATCTTAGTGTAGTCTACTTGTGTGCCAAGTTATATTGAAATTAGACCAAAACTGTAGGAGGAGTAGCATTTTGAAAAATTGTTTACAGACAGACGGACAGACGGACGGACGCCGGACGCATTACTATCGCATAAGCTCTTCTGGTCTCTGACCAGTAGAGCTAAAAATGACAAAGATTTTGTAAGATGAATTATGTTATTTATTTTCAGCAAGTAATAGAAGAGTGTATAACAATCGGATGTAAAACAAATTATATAATAATTGACTATTTGTCAATGAAACTCATTAAAATATAATAAAACAACGGGGACATAGGGGGAGGGGTGGGGGGCTCTTCATGATATTTTCATGTGATCTACAACTTCAAATGCAACACAAAACTCCAACATCAGTAAGAAAACCGAAAATGTAGTTTTCCAAAGAAAGGACTTGCACTAACGAATATACCAATGAAATTAAAAACCAGAAGTCTCTGTCGAGACTGAAGCTCTACTGGTTTGTACTTATTATATAGCAAAGGAAGAGAAAAGTACTTAAGCAGTTGGGAATTGAAACTTTACAACAGCAATAAATAGGATAATGATCCTTGATTAAGTCTCGTTATGTTCTTAATGTAGTCTACTTGCATGCCACATTATATTATAATCAGACTAAAACTTATTTGGAGTAGCATTTTGAGAGTACATAACAGAAATTTCTATTTTTAGAAACTGTGGCAACACCGTTCATTGAAGTAAAAAACCAATACACAGAATTATGTACTTTATTGTAGTCTTACTTGTGTGCCAAGTTATATTGAAATCACACCAAAACTGTCTAGAAGGAGTAGCATTTTGAAAGAATTTCACCGAAATTTCTATTTTTAGTAACCACAGCAACACCGTTCATCGAAATCAAAAACCGATATACAGAATTATGTACTTTAGTGTAGTCTACTTGTGTGCCAAGTTATATTGAAATCAGACCAAAATTGTAGGAGGAGTAGCATTTTGAAAGAATTTCACCGAAATTTCTTTTTTTAGAACCACGTCAACACCGTTCATTTAAATCAAAAACCGATATACAGATTTATGAAGCTTAGTGTAGTCTACTTGTGTGCCAAGCTATATTGAAATCAGACCAAAACTGTAGGAGGAGTAGCATTTTGAAAAATTTCACAAAAAATTCTATTTTTAGTAACCACAGCAACACTGTTCATCGAAATCAAAAACTGTTATACAGAATTATGTATCTTAGTGTAGTCTACTTGTGTGCCAAGTTATATTGAAATCACACCAAAACTGTAGGAGAAGTAGCATTTTGAAAGAATTTTACAGAAATTTCTATTTTTAGTAACCACGGCAACACCGTTCATCGAAATCAAAAACCGATACACAGAATTATGTATCTTAGTGTAGTCTACTTGTGTGCCAAGTTATATTGAAATCACACCAAAACTGTAGGAGGAGTAGCATTTTTGAAAGAATTTTACAGAAATTTCTATTTTTAGTAACCACGGCAACACCGTTCATCGAAATCAAAAACCGATACACAGAATTATGTATCTTAGTGTAGTCTACTTGTGTGCCAAGTTATATTGAAATCACACCAAAACTGTAGGAGGAGTAGCATTTTTGAAAGAATTTTACAGAAATTTCTATTTTTAGTAACCACGGCAACACCGTTCATCGAAATCAAAAACCGATACACAGAATTATGTATCTTAGTGTAGTCTACTTGTGTTCCAAGTTATATTAAAATCACACCAAAACTGTAGGAGAAGTAGCATTTTTGAAAGAAATTTACAGAAATTTCTATTTTTAGTAACCACGGCAACACCGTTCATCGAAATCAAAAACCGATACACAGAATTATGTATCTTAGTGTAGTCTACTAGTGTGCCAAGTTATATTGAAATCAGACCAAAACTGTAGGAGGAGTAGCATTTTGAAAGAATTTTACAGAAATTTCTATTTTTAGTAACCACGGCAACACCGTTCATCGAAATCAAAAACCGATACACAGAATTATGTATCTTAGTGTAGTCTACTTGTGTGCTAAGTTATATTGAAATCAGACCAAAACTGTAGGAGGAGTAGCATTTTGAAAAATTGTTTACAGACGGACAGACAGACAGACAGACGGACGGACGACGGACGCATTACTATCGCATAAGCTCTTCTGGTCTCTGACCAGTAGAGCTAAAAATGTTCCTTTTTTAAAAGTTGAACATACTCCAACGTCAAAGGATCAAAGTCAATAATACACAGGGAATGAACTCGTCACAATACAATGTCAAGCTTATAAAGTTTTTAAAAGTGGGTCAAACTCGAAGATTGAAGTCAAACCATTTTACGGTTAAAAATGCACACAAGGAAAGGTCTTCTCACAATGAAAGATTTACTGCACAAAAGTTATGGTCAGAGTTAAAATTCGACAATTTTAGCAAACGTGGGACATCTCCAAAGCCAAGGTCAAGAGGTCAACTACAATCATTACCCTAAAGTGTCTTGTCGTAAAAAATTAAAAATGTGAAATATTAAAGCCATATTTCTGGCCAATCAAAAGTTGTGGGTAAGGTTACAAATTTTGCAGTAAAGCAGTTAAACAAATTAACAGAGAGTTTCACAGACAGAAGATTGGATGGAGAGGCCACAAATTACATGCAGATTCTTCGATTACGGGGCATTAAGTGAATTGGTCTAATATTGTGACATATGTGAAATATATGTATTAGAAATACTTGGGGTTCTTTTTATTCTCATTTTGATGTACAGTGTGATTTTAAGTGTCGGTTGAAAGATGATCGCCATTTAAAACTTGTGCCACAGATTTTACAAATATACTTGGCAATGCCATTATGTTTCGAACGTAGGTGATCATGGAGAATATCCTTCCTTGTATATTTCTTGTGACATATGCCACACCTGAAGGTATGTGTTTCTGAATCCTTCGTCTTCTTAAGGCCTAAACACTGGAGAGAATGCCGAACAAAGCTCGATTTATAGCTGAATCTTGTGTTGCATGTATGACATGCATACGGTTTGGTTCCATGGTGACTGTTTACATGTCCTTCAAAGTACCCCTTTCGG